CTTTCCCTTGTTCTCCTGTTGAAGAGAGAGCATTGATCTTTCCAGACTAAACCATCTCAATTCCCTTAGCCGTCTTCCTGGATCTGCTTTTCCTGATTTTTCTTCCTGTATTATCTCCTAAGCTTTGAATGCTGAGCTCAAAGATGTACAAAACTTCATGTTAGCTTAGCTAGATTTGTAAATCCTTCATATCTGAAGCAATTTCAATAAAAGTTATTCCTGTAAAAGTGGCTTCTGATTCTGCAGTAACATCATTTGAGATTTTGATAAAGTTGTAGTAAATGAACAAAAAAGGTCAGGTAAACAAATCCAATTTTATCTTTCAGAGAAAGTCACATATCAGAGCCCTAGATAAATCCCATTTGTGTTTAAGAGGCACACCATAAGGTTTGAGTCACCTATCAATCATGCACCACAAATGAGGGCAGTGGCACTGTGACACCATCATACCTCCCTGCACTCAACAGGTTTTGATGTATCTCAGTATCACTGAAGCACATCCAAGAATCCATGATAGTCAAAAGTGGTTTAAAATTGTGACACGGTCTTATTTTCTTCTTCAGCAAATAAATTAACTGAAATAAATAAAGCTGGGCAGTTAAGTTTTATAACTGGGTAAAAAAAAACATTTAGTAAATCAGAATCAGCTTGAAGAATACACAAGGCAATGTGGTATTGTGAGGCTTAGTACTTTTCAATAAGCAGGTTACCTAGCCTTCTCTGATCTGATGAGTCCATGAGCTCAGAGACCACGAATAACAGCATGGTTATTCAGAAAAAACTTAAGTATGAATCATGGCACGAAAAGACTCTGTTCGGTATTTGAAAGAGGAGGACTATTTCGTTTGTCTCTCTTTATATAAACTCATTAAAAAACTGCAAAGCTGTAAATTTGGTGGGTGCCTTTAGAGAAACCATACTTACACATCAGAGAAATTCCCAGTGGCCTTGAAGAAGAATTGTAAGAAAGACTTTCCTCAAATTTTACGTGTCTCTTATATTAAATAGCTTCTAAAATGTACATCAGTAAAAGGTACTTGATTATATTTCTTTAATAAATTCAATTAAAAACTGAAGCTAATTTCAGTTTTCTTAAATATTTCATTAAAACCTGATAGACACATAAATCAAGTTCTATTCTCACCAGTGTGTGGGGAAATAAGAATAAATGCTTGTTTCCAGGGCAACAATATCCACATAGCAGGGCCCTAGTTAGAGTCAACAGCAGAGAGGGAAATAGAATTTGCACATACTGTAAAAAGGGCACACATTCGCTCTATCTTCTCTGGGTTCCTTGGCCCACCATTCTTGTTCAGTCTCACCAGAAACCGCTCACTGAAATGTAGGAGAGAGAGACAAAGAAATGTAAGGGATTGCATGCTCGAGAACAGATAAAAAGGGCATTTATAGAGAAACCCTAAACACTTTCAGGACAGCGCATAGTGACAGGCAAGGCCAAAAGTACATGTCTAGAAGCGGGAGACTATCTTTCTTGCCAAGCAACATGCAATAGAGACTACAAACTGCTTCACAGGTGTTGCTGTTTACTTGCCAGTTGTGGCTCTTACCTCCCTAAAGCTGTGTGCTCCCTAAGGGCAGCAATGAGGATTATGTCTTGTATTTTTCCCAAATACCCTCAAAGCTCTGGGCATAACAGTAAGCTCATAAGAAGCATATACATTCTTTGATGTGAACACTCATATCATCATAAAAATATTCATCACACTAGGTCCGAAAGAGTCTACATTACCCAGTTTACATCTTCCTATACAATATTTGAGAATCATTTTAGAGCCAAGAAAAAATGTTACAGGGACTTACAAAAGTTTGGGTGAAAAGTAAAAAAGAAATAATGTACTGTAATTAAAGCTGTAATCAGAATTTAATAGGGCCATTAAGATATTTTATTCCTCAAACAATATAGGTTAATTCTTGAAGGAAATTATTGGACTGAAAAACTTTAGAAACAGTGTTTGTAACATTCTGGAGAAATGTCTCCTTTCTTATCTTCTTCCTGCCCCTGCCTAGGATCTCATTCCCATCTCCTCATCCCAAGGTTCTCTACCAATTGTAACAGGAAAACTGAGCCATGGCAAAGACAAAGTATGTGATTCTAAAAGTAATTTGCTTCTCCTGTGCCCAGAGTCATGTACTCATTACATATATTAGGTATCAGTAAAAAGGCCAATACTAAAATATTGTACTAGAATTATAAGATATGTTATAATATCAGCTGCACAGGTTGCTTAGTTTGTTCACATATTCATTTGTTCATTTAGTCAACAAATAGCTATTAAGTTGTCTGTGCTAAACATAGGAACACAAATGTGAACACAATATATATAGGGCACTTTTCTTCCTAGAGCTCATGGTCCTTCCTAGAGCTTAACTTCCTAGGCAGTTAAATGTGCAGAAATGAAGCTCAGAAAAGATCTGGCTTTTATAAATCTGGCAAATATAAATTTGAGATGCTTCAGCCAGCAGATTAGATGGGAATAAGCAGGGAATATACACAGAACAAGAAGGAAAAGGGGCTTTGGTCAGACTCCTGAGGGACACTGATAATTAAGAAACAGGTAAAAGAAGAAGAACTAGCCAAGTAGACATGTAGGGACAAATAGAAAAACAGAAGAAAAATAAGAAGAATGGTGCGATGCTATGTCAGTTAAGGGAAAAAAGTGTCTGAAAGAGGAGGGAGGGGTCAAGGAGGCCCAAGGGCACTGAATCACATGAGACAACAATACAACAGTGTCCACTGGATGTTAAAACAGATATCATTGTTGATTCTGGCAAGAACCATTTTTGTGGAATGATAGTGAAAGAGGCTAGTGTGAGAAGTAAGAAATAAGGAAGCAGAAACAGTGAGTCTAGACCACTCTTTGAAGAGGTGAAGATGTGGAAGTGATGAACTTTTAGTTAAATGGGCATGCTGAGTTGAGGGAGGTCTTTGTTTAAAGATAGGATAACCCACATATATTCAATTAATTTTCAATAAAAGTATCAAAATTCAGTAAGGGAGCACAGCAGTTTCAACAAATGGTGAACAATCCATATAAAAAATTAAACCTTGATCTTGCCTATAAGAAATGAACTTGGGGCTTCCCTGGTGGCGCAGTGGTTGAGAGTCCGCCTGCCGATGCAGGGGACACAGGTTCGTGCCCCGGTCCGGGAAGATCCCACATGCCGCGGAGCAACTAGGCCCGTGAGCCACGGCTGCTGAGCCTGTGTGTCCGGAGCCTGTGCTCCGCAACGGGAGAGGCCACAACAGTGAGAGGCCCGCGTATCGTAAAAAAAAAAAGAAATGAACTTGAATTTATCATAGACCTAAATATAAGAGCTAAAACTATAAAACCGTAAGAATACACACAAGAAAAATGAGACAAGTACCTTCGTGTATCTTGTTCACATTTGTTTTTCCATATTTAGCACACAGTAGAAAAATCTTTGTGAACTCAGATTATTGAGCATATAACATGAATCACAAAATGATAAATTGGACTTTATAAAATTAAAACCACCTACTCTTCGAAAGACACTGATAAGCAAATGAAAAGACAAGCTATAGAGTGGAAGAAAATATTTACACTGACCTAAGAAAGGACTGTATTGACAACATATAAAGTAAGCTCAAACGTAATAATAAATAACAACTCAAAAAATGGACCAAAAAATCTGAACAGACCCTTCACCAAAGAATATACAGGGATGGAAAATAACCTCAAGAAAACATTATTAGTAACTAGAGAAACATAAATTAAAAGCACAGTGAGATACCACTACACAAGTACCAGAATGGCTAAAATTAAAGACTGAATATACCAAGGACTGGCAAGAATGTAGAGCAACTAGAACTCTAATAATCTGTTGAGGAGAATGTGAAATGGTACAGCCACTTTGGAAAACAGCCTGCCAGTTTCTTATAAAGTCAAACATGCACTTACTATATGACCCAACAATTTTACTCCTAGGTATTGACTCAGAAGAAATGAAAACATATGTCCACACAAAGACCTGATTGTGAATGTTCATTGCAGCTTTATTCATAATCGCTAGAAACTGTAAAGAACCCAAATGTTCATCAGGAGATGAACAGACAGATATACCATTGTATGGTATACCCATACAATGGAATATTACTTCACAATAAAAAAAGCAAACTACTAAGATTTATAACAATATGGATGAATCTCAAAGGCATTATGCTAAGTGAAAGAAGTCAATCACAAAAGACAATATACTATATGTCTCCATTTATAGTACATTCTAGAAACATAAAATTATAGGAACAGAAATCACATCAGAAGTTGCCAAGACTGAGGAAGGAGGGCACGGGTTTGACTGCAAAGGTACATAAGGGAATTTTCTGGGGTGATGAAGTGCCTGTTTCTTGACTATGGTAGTGGTTTCACAACCATAAATTTGTGAAAACTCATCAAACTATGCATTAAAAAAAAACTCATCAAACTATGCATTAAAAACTCATCAAACTATGCATTAAAAAAAAACTCATCGAACGATGCATTTTGGGCTTCCCTCGTGGCGCAGTGGTTGAGAGTCTGCCTGCCGATGCAGGGGACACGGGTTCGTGCCCCGGTCCAGGAAGATCCCACATGCTGCGGAGCAGCTAGGCCCGTGAGCAATGGCCGCTGAGCCTGTGCGTCTGGAGCCTGCGCGTCCGGAGCCTGCGCTCCGCAACAGGAGAGGCCGCAACAGTGAGAGGCCTACGTACCAAAAACAAAACAAAACAAAACGGTGAATTTTACTATATGTAAATTGCAGTTTAATAAACCTGACTTCAAAAAAAGATGGGACACACCTAAGAACATTTACATCTAATGGGAAAATGATGTTAGTAGAAGGGGAGAGATTGATGACAGTGGAGAAAAAATAATGGGTAAAGGAAAAAAAGGTTCCCACCTACTCAGGGAATTGTGAGAATCCAGGAGAGTTAAGGAGAAAACAACAGGTGTAGATACAAAAAATCTGTAGTTTTAGTAATGGAGAGTTGAAGGTTAACAGAGAAACAGGAAATAAGAACATACGGGTAAAGTTTAGGAAAAAAAGACATCCAAAAACAGGAAAAATTCTCAAGACCATCTGAAAGAAACTGTAACTAGGAAAAGTAAAAATGATGGTTGTCACATGGACAAGTGGAAAGTGGAAAAAAGGACATTCAGTTGAGTCAATTTTCTCTCGAAAGTATAATCTTGAAACTTTAAAAATCTCTCCATCTCTTTCACTACCTATCACTAGACTAGGCTACTACTGGACTGTAGCTGGGATGATTATAACAACTTCCCAGCTGATTTATTTCTCTTTTTGCCTCTCTACAATTCATTCTTCGGAGAGACTGATCCTTTTAAAATGTGAATCAGATTACACTACCTCCCATATTAAAACCTTTTTCATATGGTCAAAGTGATTTTTTATACAAAGGTATCAAGACAATTCAATGAAGGAAAGAATAATATTTTTAACAAATGATGCTGGGACAACTGGAAATCCACATGCAAAAGAATGAAGTTGAATCTCTATTTCACACCATATGTAAAAATTAACTAAAAATGGATTATAGATGTAAATGTATGAGTGAAAACTATATAACTCTTTAAAGAAAACATAAGCATAAATCTTCATGACCTTGGATAAAGCAATGGTTTCTTAGATAGGACTAGAATACTAAAAGCACAAGCAATGAAAGAAAAAAATAGGTAAGTTGGACTTCATCAAAATTAGAAACTCTTGTGCTTCAAAGGACATCATCAAGAAAGGGAAAGGGGGCTTCCCTGGTGGCGCAGTGGTTGAGAGTCCGCCTGCCGATGCAGGGGACACGGGTTCGTGCCCCGGTGCGGGAAGATCCCACATGCCACGGAGCAGCTGGGCCCGTGAGCCATGGCTGCTTAGCCTGCATGTCCGGAGCCTGTGCTCTGCAACGGGAGAGGCCACACAGTGAGAGGCCTGCGTACCGCAAAAAAAAAAAAAAAAAAAAAAAAGAAAGGGGAAGGTAATCCACTGAATGGAAGAAAATATTTTCAAATAATATATCTGATAAGGGACTTGTAGCTAGAATTTATAAAGAACTCTTACAACTCAATAATAAAATAACGAATAGACATTTCTACATCGAAGATAAACAAATGGCCAATAAGGATATGAAAAGGTGTTCAACATCATTAGCCATTAGGAAAACGCAAATCAAAACCACAATGGGGGCACTACTTCACTTCCACTAGAATGACTTTCATCAAAAAGACAGATAATAACAAGCGTAGACAAGGAGGTGGAGAAATTGGAACCACCATATAATGTTGCTGGGAATGTAAAATGGTGCAGCC